GGCCCAAGAGGCTCCCAAGAGGGCTCCAAGACCGCCCAAGAGGGCCCCAAGACGGCCCAGTAAGCCCCCAAGCCGGCCCCAGGACAGCCCCAAGAGGAGGCCCACAGGGGTAACCCTCCGAATATGTGCAGCCAACCAATAGAAGAAGGGCGCAAGATGGGGTGCAAGTGCCTTGGAAGGCTACGCCGACACTCTGCGAGCGGGGCGCGGCCAGCGAACGCGGCCAAGGACTTGCCGAAGGGCCAAGGATGCAAGGGCTACCTTGGAAAATCGCTCATCCTTACTATGCGGGTTGACTGTTGCGTTCCTTTCTGCACCCAGGCTCTTCTGATGCCGAAAGAGCCTTTAGGCACGAAGAGGGCCTGGTTGCACGAGGAGGGCTGGAGGAGCAGTCGCGGAATGACCTGAGGAACAGCGAGCCTCTTCCGGCCCAAACGCGGCCCTTATTTCAGCGTCTTGACTGTACTCGGCCAGCGACTGCGGGGCCCTCCACCACCAGCCCTGGGCGCTCCACCAACGCCCGTTCAAAACACACACGCGTCATGAAGCAATCGCGACGGGAAATCTTGACCGCTTTCGGCCCCTGGGGGCCCTTGACGAGCCCCAGGACTGTCAGAGAACGACTCTGGACGAACAGGAAGGAAACAGGGCGGGACTCATCCCCCGACCACTGTGTGGGTCTCTCAACATGTGACATTCCCCCCCCCCTGGGGCCCCTAACAGGCAATTTGACCCCCCCCCCCGGCGCGAACGCATCCTGGGCGAGGGCCCCTTAAGAGGTTTCCTCAAGACGGTGCAGGAGAGCTCCGAGTGGCCGAGCGAACGGTCCAACGCGCCGAAGATGGCCTCCAGACGGCCCACAAGGCCTCCAAGACGCCCCCCAGAGCATTCCCAGACTGGCCCCAAGGGGTCAAACTCCTCAAATTACATAGAGGGACGCGCGCACTTCATAGCACATTCGCTTTGTCGGCCCTCGCGGCGTGGAAGACGGCCGAACTTCGCCCCAGGACGGCCCAGGAGCTCCCCCAGAGGGTCCACAGACGGCCCCGGCAGGCCCCAAGACAGGCGAAAAAGCACCCGAGACGGCCCCAGCGAGCCCCAACCCAAGGCGGCCCCAAGAGGGGCTCGGGAGCGGGAGCCCCAGCCGACCGTTCGAGTCCTCCGCCCCAAGGTGCCCCGCGGGAGGCCCGAAGCCTCCAAGAGGCCCCCAGGAGGCCCCCAAAGTCGCCAAGACACGCCAAGAGGCCCCAGAACTGGCCCCAAGCTTCCACGGGTCTCCCACGCGGTTCTTAAAAACCCAACAACTGCCGCCGCCCCAGCAGGCCTCCCTGAGCAACCCAAAGAGATTCCAGAGATCATCCCTGAAACTCTGACCCACGGCCCAGACACGGACGGTGGCGGGATGGGGCGAAGGCCATGCGATATTTCACGGCGTCGGAACCTGCACAAATCTGTCTCCTCTTCCTGCTCCAACCTTGGCCCCGTCTTCCTCCTCCTCCTCCTCCTCCAACTCCTTCTCTTCCTCGTCCTCCTCCTCCTCCTCCTCCTCCTCCTCCTCCTCCTCCTCCTCCTCTCGTCCTCCTCCTCGTCCTCCTCCTCCTCCTCCTCCTCCTCCTCCTCCTCCATTCCTTTTCCTTGTAATTATCTTCTCCCTGTCGCACCCCGAGGCTGGTCGAAAAGGCGGACCGAACGTTTCACCTGAGACCTCCTCACCATTTTTGAACCTGAAGCTTACACATTGACAGCAGTTTCACAGATGGAGGGCGGGTGGTTTTCAAAATGTGGCTCTCGCCTTAGCGCCGCGCGGATTCGTTTTTTAACATGTGCAAGGGTTTCACGGATTGAGGGCGGGTGGCTTTCAAAACGTGGCTCTCGACTAGCGCCACGCATATTTTTTCAAACGTTGGCAGGAGTTTCACGGACTCAGGGCGGCTGGTTTTCAAAATGTAGCTCTCGCCTCAGCGCCGCGCACATTCCTTTGTAGAAATTGGAAGAAGTCACGGGTTCCCATGGTCAACGTACCTGAAATAGTCTTTTGGAAAGATTCCAGATTATGAGGGCGCAGCAGCTACGTTGATTCGCGGGATTGAAGTCCAAGGGATGGCGTTCTGGCGCGGTTCAGGATCGTCAAGACGCAACAGTCAGGTTGATCCGTGGCGTTGGCGTCCCAAGAAAAATGCTCTCACATGCTTCAGGGTCTTTGTCTTCCAACGAGGCAGTTCCCTCAGTAGAAATGGACACTTGTAGGAGCCTGTGAAGAGGGAGCTTGGAGGGAGGGTTTATGCCAACATCGCTGATGACTCTTGGGCTTACACTGGTCCTCCTTTTCCTCTTCTTCCCGTTATCCTTTCCATCATCCACCCCCCACCATCATCATCATCATCATCATCATCATCATCATCATCATCATCATCATCATCATCATCATCATCATCGTCAGCAGCAGCAGCATCATCATCAGCATCATCATCATCAGCAGCATCATCATCATCCGCATCAGCATACCTTTTGCTCTCTCCCCTCCTGGTCCTCCTTCTGCGGAACGCGGTTCGTGTAGCATTATTGCGGATTCGACTTCCCAACTTGTCAACCGAACGGGCATACATTAATTCAACTGACTTGCGTTCCAAAATGCAAATTTCCTCGGAACGTGCGACGCTGCCACAGGTCACGGAAAATGCCGACTCCGGCAATTTGTCTTCGCACGTGCCACTGCACTGGTGCGCTTGCCAACTCCGCGCCGTGAAACCGAGGTCCGTGCAATCTGCGCATACCACCGTAACTGCTTCGTTGTTCGATGATGTTCCGTCTGCTCTGTCCGTTAGATGCTTCGCACGCCGCGCACGTCAACGGCTTTGCGTCCGCCTCTGCTTCATCTTGCAATTTCCTCCATCGTCATTCGCTCGGAGGCCCACGTTCTCCCGCGACACAGCGCATTTCTGGCAAAGCCTGTCCACGGCCCCATTCCCAGCGGAAAACGTTTATGTTTAGCAGATTCCCCTCTTGGGCTTTTACAATGTCCACAACGGCCCACACGGACGTTACGGTCGTCCCAAGATGGCCAAGGAGGGCATCAAGAGAGGATACGCGAACTAACTGTTCGAACTCTTCGCCGCAAAATGGCTCTGAGGCAGCCAGCAAGCGCCCTACAAGCCCTGATGAGACCCACAGAAGTCCCCAGATGACGGCCCAGAAATATCCCCACTGCCTCACCAACACGTGCACCGTGGCGCCCCCCCCGCCCGATCCGAATGGATCTCAAGGCGCACTGCAGCGATCCAAAGAGGTCGGCGGATGTGGCGCAGGCCCCTTGACGCCCCCCCCCTCCCCGATATACCTCCTCCACTTCCCCTCGCCTACCCCCCCTCCCTCTGCTGCCCCTCCCCTCCTCTTCTTCCCAGTCTCTCTCTTCTCCCCCCGGCCTCGTCCCGTCCTCCCCTCCTGCCCCTCCCCCTTGTCCCTCCCATCGCCCCCCCGCAGCTCTCCCCCTTGCCCGCCCCCGCCCACCCGAGCTCCCAGCGCACCGTGCCTCCGGAGCGGGGCTGGCCTCTGCGCGCGGGGACTCCGCCGAAGCCCGCGGAGCCTTCGGCCCCGGGCGCCCTGGCGCTCCAGGAGAGGGGCCCCATGGGGCACTCTCTGCTGGGCCCGCTCCGCCGAGGTCCCTCCGCGGCCTGCGCGGTCCACCGCGATGGGGACGAGGAGGAGGAGGAGGAGGAGGAGGAGGAGGAAGGAGGAAGAGGAGGAGGAGGAGGAGGAAGGAGGAGGAAGGAGGAGGAGGACGAGGAGGAGGAGGAGGACGAGGAGGAGGAGGAGGACGACGACGACGAGGACGAGGAGCACGAGGATGACGTTCTACCACCGCCGCGCTCTACCGAAGGCCTCCAGGCGCTCTACCACCGCCGCTGGGCCGCTGCAACGAAGCCAGAGGCCTAGGGAGCCAATGGATGCGGATGCATGCATGCGGTTCCTGGGATGGGGGGGGGGGCAAACATGTCCATATCCTCCGCATGCCGCATGCTGACGTCGCCGAAGATCAATCCCTAAACAATAATTATAGAATTATGGGTAGATCAATCCCCGCCTCAAGCCCACGGGGCCTGGAGGCGGCCGGAACCGTGAAGATGCGCGCGCGTCGTGAAATTGTTCCCAAGGCCTCACGCTGTGGAAGCACCCCACAGCGGCGCGAAAGACTTGCCATCGCTCTAACGTCCATTCCCTGTGCAGCATCTGGTGTCGTGAGTGCTTGGTCCCAAGGTGGCCCAAGAAGCTCCAAGATGGTCTACCCCAGATTTCGTAATAAAGGGAGGGGGGTCTCATTTCGGGGGGGGGTCTCTTCCAGGCTATCTTGGAGGGCATGGGGGGTCTGGGGACGGTGTTTTGGAGGGTTCTCCCACTGGGGAGGTCTGAAATGGCTTGTCTTGGAGGGTCCAGACCCCCTCCCTTTTATTACGAAATCTGGAGTAACTTTTCTAGCGCTGGCCTCGCCGAGAATAGTGCACACGTCCGAACGGTGGCAAAAAGAACTACGGCCGAGACCTCCCGATCGACTCCGTCCTCCCGCAGCGTGCCTCGACCCAGATCACGATCCGTGAGGGTTCTGGCCCCTGACCTTCCCACGACCCACCACTCTTCCTGCGGGGGCCAACGACCAGATTCTGCTCGACACGGGCCCCTGGATCCCTCCCAAGCTCGGGGAGACGTAAGACTCGGGTGCGGGGGGACGCGGGTTGGCCTGACGGGGTCCATCATAAAAATGACGAGACGCAATCTGAAATTTGACGCGAGCTCCCACTGCAAAAATCCTACGAAAACTGGACCGTCAAAATCAGGACGCGCTCGTCAAAAAACGTCGGCAAACCCGAGTTCCGGCTTACCCGAGTCTTACGTTCCCCCGACAAGCGGCGCCCTGGCAGGTCTTTCCACGCTCGGTGCCGCCGCGGCCACCACGCCCCCCCCACCCCGGAGGCGCGACCAGAGGCAGAGGGTGAACGTCTTCTGAC